AATTCTCATTAAAGACCAAAATCTAGCTTTTCTCAATGAAACAATTATAGGAAGCCCATTCTTCACTATTTTACATAAATCATCCAGCATATTACACGTAATAATCTACAACAAGCAGTATATTATTGTTCAATTTCTGAAAAAAGCTTAAATTACAGATTTACTGTATTAAATCTGAACCACTAGAGAGGCACCAAAGATGGTCAGTTTTTCTTACTATTAATTATAGATTAAAGCAACAGTACGAGCCATATATTATTACATAGAAATATTAGCAGTGAAAAAATATAATTAAATTCACAGCAAATGAGATTTATTGAGTGTTAAATATTCAATAACCCAAGTAAGCAGCATTGGAATAATGTGTATGATGGGAACACACTAAATTACTAAAACACTCATTTGGAATTCAATAATATTCTCAACAATTCTTTTGAATAACAATGTTAAAATTTCCAACTTAGTAATGAAACTTAATTCCAACTATGTCCTTTCAGCTATAGATAAAAGTTTTCAAAGTATGTGTGAATCATGTCCAAAATGCACCTTCTTCAAGGGAGTTGATGCCTCCAAATCTTCAGCAAAGAAGCAAATGTATAAATAGTATATACAGGAAGAAACACAATTTGAGTACTGAACACTCACTCTTGATAAAGTAAGCTGACATTACATTGCGCTGTTTTCAATATCTTTTACAAAGCAGATCAAAATTAAATATACGAGCTCTGTCAGGTTACATGTCATACTATCTTGAATGAAAAAATCCATTCAGAAATTATTCTCTGCTATACCTTTATAAGTGATTCAGTTCTATTTTGCTAAACCATCAAAATGTTATTTTTTTCTAAAGATAACATTATTTGTAATGAGGAAATTAACCACTATGACTCTGTGAGCATTTAAGAAATCTGAAGTACAATACAATACTATATGGTTTTATTTAGACTATGGAGAAAAAGAACAATGCTTAGAAACATAGTTTTAAATTTCAGTATTTCCCAAGATTATGCAAATTCACTAGACACCACATCCTGGAGTGTAGTGTAACATTTACTCCAAGACAGATTAATCTATACTTTCCTAATTAGATTTGCTATGCCAAAAGCGTGCCAACAATGCCTGACAGTTAGAATCAGGTTTGCAACTCCTTTTCTGACTCAGAAGAAAAATTAATACGTCAGCTGGATCAATCTGACTGCAGAAGGGATTGGCTTTCTGCAGCCTGAGCAAAGAGTAATGAATAGCAGACATAATTCCCACAGTGAACTCAGAACTTGTACCCTTCAGTAGCTTGTACTGCATTTCCAGCTGAAGCCTCCCAACCCCTAATTTCTATGTGTAGCTGACACAGACTTCTCTCATTTTACACTGTAGTATTATACAAACCCAGACACTGATTTCTTTGGGGGTTTCTCATGGACAGCTCTTGTGACCCAAGTCACACCAAGCTCAAGCCTTGGCCAGTTAGTAGAAGCTATGTGAGGAGTGGCTAAGGTCACAACTTCATCATAAGGGACTCCTCTCTGTGTTGACCAGTGACAAATCCTGGCCTGAGAGAATGGCATGAAGCCTAGTTAAAGGAAGGTTTGGGTTAGATTTTATGAAAAGGCTCTTCAACAATAGGGATTTTAGGCACTGGAGCATCTACTGCAGGGAAATGGTCATGGCACTAAATTTGTCAGAATTTGAGAAGTGTTTGGACAGTGCTTTCAGGCACAGAGTGTGATTCTTGGGGTTGTGCAAGGCCAGGAGCTGGACTCAATGAGCCCTGTGGGTCCTTTCCAATTCAGCATGTTCCATGGTTCCAAGTTTCATTTACCTTCAAGATTTAGATAAGCTAACAATGTTTCTGGGTCAAGGCAATATAGTTTCTTGAAGTCAACTTACAAGACTAAAACAACTTCCAATTAATCGCTGACCACATGTAAGGCAAATTAAAAATCTTGTTGCTCTCTGTTACTTCTTAAGAAGGCCTGTGCTTTCACTTTAACAGTGAATTCAGGAACAGAGACATTAGAAATAGTTTTAAGCAAGGATTGCTGAGAATTAGAGGTGCTGTAGCTGTGATAGCAATGTTTGAAAGTGCTTCCTAGTTGACCTGTCCTCTTTTTACTGCTCTGATACCCAAGTCAGCTGCCTGAATATTCATCAGAAAGCTCAACGTTGCATTCAGCACAGCATGGATAAATGAAACAGTATCAAGACAAAGCTTTACAAATGATGCCGACATACAGGTTCACATATATGCCAATCCTTTAAAGTTATTAAAAAAACAAACAAAAAAATGTACATAAACCTGAAGAAATGAGGTGGGGAAAGTGTTCAGCAGCTATTGTAGTTCCCCGCCACTTCTTTTCGTTACAGACTGAGATATGGTGTTGCCTAAACTTGTACCAAGACAAAACAAGAGGAAGTGAATAAGGGCAAGAATGTTTAAGTATTGAGTTTTAAGAGGGCTTCTAACCAATCAAACAGAAGTACCAGTGTAGAAAGATTGGTAGAGACTTCTTTAGAGTCTTTCTCAACCTCATCACCTAACAGAGGAGACATATCTGCAATGAGGTGAAAAAAATGACAGTAATTTAAGAAATTTTCTGAAATACTCAAATCAGGATATGTAAATAGCAGATTTCTCATATTTCCTATATTTTTCCATCTCCACAGTTTTTGCACACCAGAGTAGATATCACTATTACCATTTGAAGTTTTGTTCCAAGTTTCCATGTACTATGGCAAAAAGTCCAGTTCATGCTTTTTATGGCATAATAAATCCACACTGATACTGTAACCTTGTGTCACATTAATGACTTCTTTAATCACTGATCCCAAAGCAACATCCAAATTATTCAACCCCAAACTAGAAAAGACAAACGGAAATGTAAGAGACTAAACATAGACCATTTCCTGGATTTATTCTTTTGATATAAGAAAATACTGTCTGAGAGAAATAGTTTTTTCTGATTGAGGTTCCAATTCCCTCAACTAATAATAAAATAAATAAAAAACTGAAAATACTAGAAAATATGACAGGCAGCAACATCTAGACTTTGACTGTGCAGTATCTGCAGTATATATTTAAGACAGTTCAATGTAATGTTTTAACTATGGTCAGGCAACAAGGTTATCCAGTTCTAGTGAAATAGGATAACCAGTATATATAACTCTTGATGCTTCTGTACAAGAAAATATGAATTCAGCTACATTTGGTCACCATGATAACTTTGAAAACATGAAAGGTAAATAGACAGTACGAATTTTGTATCAAAATTTCTGGTTTCACCAGCACTGTGCAGATTTTCAAAGTACTTAGTCTGAGAGAAGAAAACGGTTTCTGTGGGAATGTGCTACCATTTGGATGAAACTTAAACTGTAATAAGGACATGGAAGAAGTTAGGAAGAAACAGTTCAGTGAGACATTTGAGACTGATCATGGGATCTGAACTAGAAACAAGAGAAAACAGAACCTTGCAGCTTTTAAACAGTATGAATCACATTTCTTGAAAGAAAATACTATTCATATTCACACACCAGTTTGTCAGTGATCCTGGAATTTACTTTGGAGGAAACTGACTTTAGGACAGTACTGTTGCTTCGTGTTCCAGTACTGACTGGAGATTGTAGTACATTCTCATTGCAGGAAAAAAGCTGACATCACTCATCACAGATGTTTTCAAACCAGCAGGGAAACGTGTGGAATTTTAAAAAACCCAGCCTGGTAGCTTCATAGGCTTATCCACTAGACTTCATTAAAACAAGCAGAAACTTTCTTCCTACAGAGACTTGTCAGAAAATAGTCAGGAGTCCAGTACACTCAATATTTGGCTTTCTAACCATGAAAAACAAATTTTAATGTGGACTGTTCTTTTGCCTGTTACCAAATGGCTATATAAACTTGGGAATACACATATTAACCATTCCAGCTAAATGGGAAATATATGGCTGATCTTCCATTGCACACTGAAATTCATATGTATTCCATGGATGAACAAAATTGACCAGAGTTGACAGCTATATATGCCATTTCACTCTCTTAGATTTTACATCAAGATTATAACTAAGTAGATTGCAATATTGCTTTAGACAATCACATGGTTTGAAGAAACAATCCTGTTGACATTGCTGCTATTACTGCTTCTGTGTTACTTCACTTCCTTCCTACACTTTAACAGTCACAAGCATCATCTTACAGCCAGACCTCGATCTAGGATTCTCATCTGAATGGTCGAAATGGAGAGAGAAAAAAGCACCGGGATGCTTATGATTTTGCAGGGGGTTGGGGGCTAAAGGGGGGAGGGAAGACATTTGGGTGTTTCTCTTATGCATGTGTGTATGGGGGGGTGTGTGTTCACTAGCAGCTGATGCTGACAGATTTTCTCCAACAGGAATGAATAATCGCTGCCTCGCTCAGCTCAGCTGCATCTTCAGTGATGGTTCCAACTTGTTTTTCCGTCCTGCACATTGACCGCAGCAAGGCCGTGTGTGTGCTGCAGCTGCCTTACTGTTACATAGTAAGCTCTGCGGGCAGCACAAAAGACGGATGAACTGCTATGAAGGCAGAACTAACAGTCCAGATAATTTTACGAGATTGCACTCGATCCTGTGTTCATAATGTTGTACTGACTTACCTAAAACCACAGATGGCTTGAGACACAAGCCTGCTCCCGGTTCCCCTGGAAAAGACTCTGAGGTTTGAACCGAGTGTTTAATGTAGGAGTGGAAGCAAAACAAAATTAGAAGAGACCGCCAGCATCAGGGGGCTGCATACCTTCCAAACACCGGCAATAGCTTTACAATTTCTTTTTTAAGCCAATACCAAAACCCGCCGGCGTAAAGCTGCACCGCTCCCACCCTCCGCCCACCAGCCCCGCCGGGCCTCAGCGGTGCCCGAGCGCGGCCCCGCTCCGCCGGTACCGCCCCCGGGTGCCCGAGCGCGGCCCGGCCCTCCCGGCCCCGCTCTCCCGGCCCCGCCCCTCGCCTGGCGGGCGGGCCCGCGGCTCGGGGCGGTGCCCGCGGCCCAGTTCCGTGTGGCGGGGATGGCGCGGCGGGCGGGCGCGCTGTTCCTGTGCTCCAGCCGGCTGCTGTGGCTGTGTCTGTGCCTGCCCCTGTGCTTGCCGCGGCCGGCGGCGGCGCGCCCGCCCGCCCCGCACCTCGTGCTGGTGCTGGCCGACGACCTGGGCTGGGGCGACGTGGGCTGGCACGGCTCTGCCATCCGCACGCCGCGGCTGGACGCGCTGGGCGCCGGCGGCGTGCGGCTGGAGCGCTACTACACCCAGCCGCTGTGCACGCCGTCCCGCAGCCAGCTCCTCTCGGGCCGCTACCAGGTAGGGCGTGCGCTCCCTCCCCTGCCGCGCTGCCCGGGGGATGCTGCGGGTGCTCCCCGCTCGCTCCTGGCAGCCCCCGAGCCGCTGGGGCTCGCTGGGTCTCTGCCGCTGCGCTGCGGAAAGCAGCTGCTCTGAAGCTGCAAACTTCGCCTTGCGAGCTCGGGAGTAAAGTACACATGGATTCAGTGCAAATTGTTCTGTTCCAGAAAAGCCGAGGTGCTCTTGCTTAGGTTAGATTAACAGATACGGCAGCCTGTCGTGGAAAATATCCTTGCCCTAGTCGCCTGACTCTTGGATATTTTTCCACTGGACACCCAGTCGAGACGCAGACAGACCAGATGAATACTGCTTGTTCAGTTTTTGCTTCATGTTTTCCAGTGCAGCGCCGGAATGTGTCACAAGCTCTACGCTCACCTCCACCTGGTATAGGAGGTGAAGATGTTCTGCGCTCCTCGATGGAGTGCACACAGAGTGGACATTAGTCTGGGTGCCTAAATAGTTCATAGTGATTATCCCGATTTTCCCACTTTTTTTTTTCCCTCCAGTTGTACAGGTGTAAGATTTGGGCTTTATAATACTGGTATATCATTCTACTCTTTCCCATCCTTTTTGCAGTTTTGGCAAAAACATGGGGAGTGGGAGGTGGGAAATAAAGTATGGACACACAGCATAGACAGAAGGAAGAAACTCTCAAAGGGTTAAGTGTGTTTCAGAAACTTCCCCTCTGTCTCAAGAAGTCCTGCACATCCATGTTAACCATAGTGATTGCCAAGTAAACTGCTGAGTGAAAGGAAATAAATTTCATCCTGTATTAATGGATGCTGTCTCTTCTTGCAGGAAGGTTGTTCTAGGTGACACTCTTTCCAAGCAGCATTTGTCCTGTTCCTGTAAACTCCAAGAATGAATAATGATGAATAGGAAAAAGCAATTTATATTATCTTTACCAACCCTTGAAGTTGTTCTGTTAAATAACATAAAATATTTCTTCAGCGTGAATATTTTAAAAATTCAGTTCATAATCTGAATGTGCTTTCTAGGAAAGAAAACACTGCTGCATCACATCATAAAAGTGGACATTGAAAATACCTATAGTTCAGTCTGGATTTACATTCATCCCATACATCTGGCTTGATAATTTAATAATCTTTGTGTTGATCATATTGCAACTGAGTAAAATAATATTAGAAAATCGAAGTAATTTTTTTTTTCTATAGGAGAGTCATTCTGTGCAGCAGTAATTATGCAGCAATAATTATATTACGCAGCAAATATGTGAGATCTTTTCTAAAATTGTTTTACCCATGGATATGATTAACAGTTGATTAGAAACTTGAGAAAGTAACCTAAATCTGGACTTGCAATCTATCTGGAGGAAAAGCAATGATATTGGTCTGAGCTAGCTATAGATTTTTTTTTTTATTATTATTGCCTCCTTCTCCTTTTTCTTATTTTCCAGATACAGTGCAAGAAATTAAAATGCTCTGCTAGTTTGTGCATTTGGTATGTTAATGCTTTCTGTAATAAAGTATTTTAAAATATTTTAAATATTTTTATATATAATAGAAAATCTACCGACTATAATTTAATTTTTGGAACCTTCTGTTCAAAGAAAATGAGGAAGTAGTAGGCCCTTTAGAAAAGGGCCTTACCCACTTGCCTAAGATCATGGGTTATTTGTTTTAAAAGTCAGTTCAGAGAGTTGCTACATTTCAAAGCAATGCTTTGAAAGTTAGTCATGCAGTGCTACACTGGTGTGCTTAGTGGAGTCATAAAATCTGGTGTCCTCTGCTCCAGAAGATCTTAGAGGCTTTGTGTTTTGACACACACAGATTGCTAGAAATGTTTAATATATAAACAAGATATATATACTTGTATACGTATGTTTGTGGGCCTAGGTTTAGGAAAGTGCCTTTTTGATAGTGGAGAAGACAGAGAAGCTGACGAAAGTCAGCCTTTAGTATCAGTAACTGAGGAGGTTCCTTATATCAAGCATGATATACTACTCAAAGTATTGTTATCAGTGATGATTTTGTAAAGAAATACAAAATTCACCGCTTAATAAGATTGGAAGCTTTAGTAGAACTATTAAATATCAGATCTAGTAGTGTGAAGCTTGTGTCATCCCCATATCCAGATGCTTTCTAGTGCTTGTATTCATTTAATGTATATATAATGTCCATTTAGAAAAGTAATATCAAAATACTTTTCTTTTATTGACCTCTCCTCTAGTGACTCTTCTCTGATACAGGCAACAACTTGATAGCTTCACCTGCCATGTACACTTTTGCCCATTTCAATCCCATTTAAAATCTCTCACTCCATCTTGAGATGTCCCTAGCCCTCAAACAGACCATAATGGTAATTCCTATCCATTAGATTTCTAGCAAAAAACATAAAAGGCTTTGTGTTTGTTTGTTTGTTTTGGGGCTTTTTAATTGTGCTTGATTTACACCTGGGAAGATGTTAACTCTTGCAGTGCTATTTTCATGCTTTCCTCCATGCAACCTCTGCCCTCCACCTGCAGCTTCCTCATCATCTTCAGTGCTGCATTGGTAGAATGAAGAGCCCCTAAAAATAATGCTAATCTCGAATGCAGCTGTGCTTCTTTTTTGGCGTGCTTATAAATTAACCTGTGGGCTGCATTTTAAGTGATCTCTCATGCTTCTTTTCTCTCCTAGATCCATACAGGTTTACAACACCAGATAATTTGGCCATGCCAGCCCAGCTGTCTTCCACTGGATGAGAAACTCCTCCCGGAGCTACTTCAAGAGGCGGGATATGTTACTCACATGGTGGGGAAGTGGCATTTGGGGATGTACAGAAAAGAATGCCTTCCAACCCACAGAGGATTTGACACTTACTTTGGTAATGGTTTGATTTAATGTCAAACTGCAATAACTGAAGTGTTGAAAAGGATGAGAAACTGCCTCCTTCTTATAACAGCAGCAGATTTACTGTGATTTATAAGTAAAGCCATGCCTGGGTATGCACATTTCCAAAGTATCACTGCTTAAAAAATGATAATGCCTTAAATGCATGATCAAGCTTTACAGCTTCTAAAGAAAGTATCAGAATTACTGTGTGGCTCCAAGTAAGGTATTTCTCTCTTACCATTTTATATCACCCCCCCCGCCCCTTCCCAGAGTTAAGTTTTTACTCTGAATTCTCTGTCTCCTACCTACAGCAGCATAGGGGAATAGGGAATGGGGGTTACAGCCATTTTGTGTAGCTTTGGTTTTCCAGAGCTGGGAGTGAGATGGTGTGAAAGCTTCTATAAAGTAGTATCCACAAACTCACAAATTAGGAAGTGAAGCTCTCAGACTGAACAGTAGATTGTCCAAGTGTGAGTGTGTTACTTGCAGAGCAACTTGTAGCTACCCATTGTTTATTGTTCCAAGTGTGGTTTATGCTGCTATCCCAGTATCAATTCCACATTTATTAGTTTTGCACAAGTGTCATGCATGTTATGTGACTTATGCTGTCTGATGTACATCTCATTCTGCACAGGACTGAGCTCAAAGAGGTCCATCTCCTCTTGGCTGTTTTTAAGATGCTTTTCTTCAGTGATGAATTTCAAAATAGTTCATTTTAATGCAGAAGCCTGTGTTGCCTTTGTCTAACTTGAGGCTTAAGTGAAGAGCCTGACTGTGCTATGTGTGTGCCTTTTATAAACTTTGTCCAAACATGAGATGGGAAAAACTGTTCCCTTAGATAGTTTACAGGGCCATGGTTTCACAACTGAATTAAGCTAATATATGTGGATTGGAATATAATGGCTCATTGCTTAAGCATTTGTGCTTTCTCCCATCCCTTCACAGGAGTTTGGGATGTCTTTGATGGCATGGGTGTGATAAGCTGCTGTTCCTTGTGAAATCTCACCCTGGGACTGAGCAGGCTTTTAATGCAGGAGCCTGAGGACAGGCTGGCTCTGGATATGGTTTTTGGGTGCCCAATGTGACATTATTTTTCAGAGGATATAGTGGTTTAATATCCTGCAATGTTCATGTGATTCCAGTAGGCATCCATTATGCTTAGGGGTGTTTGATTTTGTGGCACACTTGATGCACTCTCGCCCTCTGGGCAAAGTGGAAAAAATGCAACATGTGCCTCTGAGTACATTGATGTAAGCAATCTGCCTATAAAATCACTTTATTTCTGAAAAATTACCCATTTTATTCTCCTAAAAATATAGTAGACATTTGTATTTTATTTAGGATAACTTCATTTTTTCTGTACATTTCTTTTTGCAGAAATTACTAGCTGCAGCTGCTAAACAAAAAGTTCAAGTAAATTTCTTCTGTCTTAGATTTTTGTCCCAAGTTGTTCTTTTTTTTTTTTGCAGAATGTAAGACTGTATTTTTTTTTTCAGATTCATCCCCTTTTTCAGGATATTGGGGGAGAAATTTAAAATCTAAATTCAAATACAATTTTTGAGGTTCAAATTACTTTGAAAAGTTTTATTTGTGCCTGCTAAAACACAAGGGCTCTCCATGCCTAACAGGAGCCTAGGTAGGAGCAAATCTATATACATGCAGGATTTTTACTTAATTTCTTTTGGATATCTCTAAATGATAGTGTCTTTTCTTCACCAGCTGGTGTCAGCAGTGGATCAGAAATTACATTACAGCAGACAAAAGATGATCCATACTTGGATGTTTTTGAATAAATAAATTTAAAAATTCCAAACTTTCTAATAGAGATGAAGCCCTACTTCAAAATACAAACATAGAAATCATACCACCAAGAATCAGACTAGTTCATGGCTAGAGCACTGCCCTGGCTCTCAGTGTAGTAGTTTAGTCCTCATAGACATCAAAGTACAAATAAAAAGTCATTAAACTGCTTTCAAAATGTTTAACTTCTTTTGAAATTAATGCTGGCATTAGCAATGAAAAGCCTATGAGGTATTAAATGTGGAGCTACTTAGACATGTCAGGGGTCTCACAGTAGGTGGTCCAGGGTTGAATTAGTGTTTTGGCTCAAAACCACTAATGTTTTGACATTTGTGTTTGACTTTTTTTCTCCTCCTGATGTATGTATTTATGTGACACGATGTTGGCTTGCTCATTTGACATATTTTCCTGTTGTAGGCTATCTCCTGGGCAGTGAGGATTATTATACTCATGACCGCTGTGTCTTCATCAAAGCAAAGAATGTGACACGCTGTGCTCTGGACTTCCGAGATGGAGAAGAAGTTGCAACTGGGTTTAAAAATGTGTACTCCACAAATTTATTCACAGAAAGAGCTATAGATGTTATAGCCAATCACAAAACTGAGAAGGTACAGGCAACAGCTGCTACTCTGATAATTCTGATAACAGCATTAAAGAATGTTTTTAAAAAAGCTGAAATGTAGTATTAATAGAGAGAGCTGTGTTTGAGCTGTAATTCAGGGCTATTCAATAGGTGCATAGAATTAAATGTGAGAAGTAGCACTGGCAAAACTCATTTGCTGCCAAAATCGGCTTTGTCTGCATGGTCCTGACCCTTTTCCTTTTCTTCTATTATAATACAATTAATACATTTTTAGAAATGGTTTAGCAAAGTTTAGCAAGTAGTTTGCACTTCTAAACAGAGAAGGGAAGCTTAAGGTGAGAAATTTAACAGAAAGAAATGGTTAACCATTATGTTATAAAGCAAAGATACACCTGATGTTTTTCCACACCTTTTCAAAAGGAGTTTTTCAAATCTTTCTTAGTTTATGTGTAGGGATTAGAAGATACAGAAGCTGTAGAAGAAATCAAAAGGCACAATCTGCACTGTTAATAAAAGAGGTCTGCTTTTGCAGCAGTAACTTTTGCAAGTAGTGCTTTATGTTCAACTAATTTCTGTTCTGTCCTTTCCACCCCAGCCCCTCTTTCTCTATCTTGCCTTTCAGTCTGTGCATGAACCTCTCGAGGTCCCTGAAAAATATGTGAAACCATATTCTTCCATAAAAGATGTAAAGAGGCGCCATTACGCAGGAATGGTGACTCTTATGGATGAAGCAGTAGGAAATCTTACTGATGCTCTGAAAACATATGGTCTTTGGGACAACACCGTTTTTGTTTTCTCTACTGGTAAGTTCCTTCAACTATTCTTTCAGTAATAACTTTGCTACCGTGTCTAACAAGCTGACTACAGAGACATCTGGCCCCTCATTCTTTTTTCTGGGTATTTTCTAATGACGTAAGAATGATGAAAGTTGAGCGGGAGTTTAAGTGGAACAACGGTTTCTCTCCCTTCTCTTAGGACTTTCTCAAGCTTGACAAAACAAACTCTAAAGTAGTGTCTGTGCACATGGAGGATGCTCCTGGTGGTGTAAAAATACCTTTGTAAAATCTGGGAAGTGCAGTAGAGTTAGAAGCATCCTACTTGACACTTCAGTTTCTGAGGATCTGTCAGAATTGAATCCTTAGTGAGAACTGTCTACAAATTTATTTCTTCTGAAGCAGTCTCTCCTGTCTGTGAATTGCCATGTGCTGCATGAAGCACAAGCAGCCAGACAGCAAGCAATTTGAAGCCGAAACTGTTTCTCTCCCTCATTTTAAGGTGTCCTGTAGTTTTTATCATTCTTGAAGTATTTCATTGACATCTTAGTCCCATGAAACAAAGGTCTGTTAATAAAACAGCTGAAAATTTGATGAGCAGTCAAGGCAACCAAATTACAGTCTTAAGTTTTTGTATGTACAGGCATATGATCCAGTTTCTAGATTATTAATAAAGTAATGTAAATAATACATTGCAAAGCAGTCTCCTTTGTTTCCAAATTAAGAATGAAACAACCTTTTTGAAATACAGCTGGTTGGCTGGGTTTCAGAAACATATTTACACTTGCTTGCTTGGAAGTGGGAAGTAGCCTTTCAATGGTTGTTCTTTTGTCCACACTTTATATATAAGGGCTGTCAAAATGGCAATTAATTTTCTGTGAACACTTCAAATACAACAAAAGCAACTAAAACAAACAGACAAGCAAAACAAAAAAAGAACTAATCGAAGTTTGATGAAAATGCACTTAGGTGTTTTGAGTTTAGCAGCTGCTTCCTATAGCACTCAGAATCTTGACATTTAATTTTGAGTCCAGGCCTGTTTGCCGTATGATGTTGCATTTCAGTCCAGGTTTTGGCTCTAGCAGGATTTGATAACTAGTGTAATATGCCTATTTTTGTTTGCCATGTTTTTATATTTAGAACTGAAAGTAAGCAAAGGCATATGGATAACTATACCAGAGTTTTTATTCCGTATGGAAAAAATCCAGTCTTTGCTGAGGCTGGGGTTTGGTAGAGTTATTTCAGTAATGTTTATTCAGTACATTGTGGAATAAAACGAAATACATCTGAGCTAGAGTTACAAGGTATGAGTGAACTAAAAAGACTTTTTGGTTTTTTTTTTTGTTTATGAAGCATTTATTTTTCTGAACAGTGACAGTGTACCTGTTTTTTAACAGTGATTATTTTGCAATCAGTTGCAGGTATATTTCAACAAGAGTCAAACAATCAGGAGAATCAAGTGCCTACCCTATCTAATGGGACTTATTTTGAGTTAATTGACATTTTAAACTTCCAGGAGTTAAATTTAATATGATCAAAATGCATGGAAATTTGACTTAAATCAGGCAGGACAGGGGCCAGTGATTTGGGTCTTTTCAGTTTTCTCTCTTTACTTCACACAGTTATTCTTTACGGGCATAAAACATTGCATGCAATAAGGACCCAGTTTCGAAAACTAAGTGTTATAACCATAAAATATTTTTAAAAGACAAGAAAAGGGAAAAAACATGTCAAATTATTTGGTTTTTCTATATTTTGTTTAGTGCTTTTGCAGGTGGTGTATTTCAGAACAGACATTAGAAAAGAATTGTTGAAAAGAAACATGTGAGGGTTTGCAGTTGAGCACATCTTGCAGAGAGCTGTGCTGTGTCAGATCTTCCTGCACAGATTCCAAATCCTTTGGAACTGGGAGTCCTGCTGTGCACTGGTAGCTATAATATGAAAGTATGATTATAATGTGATTTACTTTCAGCTCTTGAGGACATGTCTGCTTGGAGAAGTGCCTCTCCCTGTCCCAAGTGCTGTTCTGGCATTGGGAGACCCTTTTTTAGCTTGGTGGGACGGAGATGGGGACACACACTTTATGATCAAGAACTCTCTCCAAGAAAGTTAGAAAGTTCTTCACATTCTGTGGGATTAAGAATCAATTTAAGGATTTCAATGAAGACTGCCAGGGAGAATCTAGGAAATGATAAGTTTATCTATAAGTTTAATGAGCAATGTTAAAGACATATTCTTTATCGCATTCACAATTATCATACTTGCTCAGAGGAATTTCAGGGTGCTGGGGGATGAGAGGCTGTACATGACCCAGCCATGGGCACTCCCAGCCCAGAGAGCCACACGTGTCCTGGGCTGCATCCAGAGCAGGGTGGGCAGCAGGGCCAGGGAGGGGATTCTGCTCCTCTGCTCTGCTGAGAGCCCACTGCAGTGCTGCATCAGCTCTGGGGTCCCAGCACAGGAAGGACATGGAACTGCTGGAGGGAGTCCAGGGAAGGGCCGCAGAAATTATCAGAGAGCTGGAGCACCTTCACTGTTAGTACAGAGAGTTGGGGTTGTTCAGCCAGGAGAAGAGAAGGCTCTGAAGACACCTTACTGCAGCCTTTCAGTACTTAAAGAAAGCTTATAAAAAATATGAGGACAGAGTTTTTAACAGGACCTGTTGTGATGGTTTTAAACTGAAGTAGAACAGATTCGTGCTAGATATAAGGAAGACATTTTTCATAATGAGGTGGGTGAAACACTGGAGCAGGTTGCACAGAGAGGTGATGGATGTCCCAGCCCTGGAAACATTCAAGGTCAGGTTGATGGGGCACTAAATAAGCTGATCTAGTTGAAGAAGTCTGGTCATTGTGGGGGGATTGGACTAGATGATTTTTAAAGATCCTTTCAAACCCAAACTATTCTATGAGGAAAGCACTCTCTGTTTTGTTAGCTGTGTGGTTTGATAAAAGTGTTGTTGAAAGTCTGTAAAAGAAAAAGGAGGCTCTACTTTTATGGTACCTTTTACTAGATTCATTACTATTTCCTTTTTAGTTGAGGCCAACATTCACACTTCCATGTTTGTTAAAAAGTCCCGCCCAAAGAATAATTTACAGGTGGTTATTTCGTATTTTGTATTATAGCAAGTAGCATTGCAACAAATATTGTCTTCTGACGGCTTCTCTGTGAAGTGTTGAGCTCAACCTGTAGACTCTTTTTAGTGGATACATATTTAAACATATGATGTAAATATTTAAAAATATGATGGAATCTTTGATCTTTTGGTAGGTGGGTATTTTATTATTATAGTCTTTCATGTTTCTTCCTATTTGTTGTGGCTCAAGAGGGGTTGCCTTGAAAACTTGCCATTTGACAAATGGAAATACTGCACATTTTGAAAGAGTCTTGTGAAATGTGTAAAATAAATTCAGTTCCTCTTTAATGTGGCCTAATGGAGCTACCAGGATAAAAATGTAACTTCATTATGTTTGGTCATTAGCAAAGTGTGACTCTATCAATATGTCCTGTAAATCAACCCTCTTTTTGAGGTGTCTTTTTGAGCAGATAGAGAGCCTATTTCTACAAGTAAAAATGAAAAAGGTGAGCAGGTTCAATGGTATGTGGTGTTATATTTGTGTATCAAGTAGTAGCTTGAAAAGACTTGACTAGTTTGATATGAAGTAGAATTTGCTTTTATGGAGCATTTATTACACTGCAGATATAAGTAGGTCTGTGCTAATGAGATCACTGATGAAAATAAAACAATTACTTGTTTAAGCAAAACATATGAAAATAAATGCAGCAGTGGTGGGTACCCATCGCCTTTTGTTCACTTAAAATCAAAGAGGATGAGAGATAGGGCATATTTTTCCTTTTAGCAATCATAGGAGACTGTAATGTACCAATGTCCCTGAAGAGAGCCTTGATTTAAAATAAAAGTTATAAAATGCATTAAAATGGTACAAATTCAGCTCAGAACTATTAACGTGGGCTTTGATTCCAAATTTTGGTTCAAATACAGAACAGTGATTTGAGGTAAGAAGTGGGGATTTGCTGTGAATATGATGTGGTTATAGTTTCTGCAAGGTATTACAAGAAATGTTGGTATGAGCTTGCCAACATTAAAGCAAAGGAACGTGACCCATTATTTCAATTCTGTATTAAAGCTACTATCATTTGCTTTATTTAACTTTCAGCTCTTTGTTGTACTGAAACACTGTGGAGCAGCACTCCTTTCCTCCAGTATGTCTTGCCATTTTAAAATGTAGATTAGCACTGTAATGGCCAGTAGTTGCCATAAGAGGGCTTTGAAAAGGAAAACACGTGGAACTTTTCAAGCCTTGGTTTACATTGCTGAGAGGAAACCACATAAATCTTTTCCATAATGGAGCATGTGACAGTGATGACTGTTTTTACTCCAAAAGACGGTCTTTTTATCATTGTAGAATTATGATTAATAAGAGCACAGATTGTTTTGGACATACTTACTGATGTTTATACAGTCTCTCTCATACCCCCAGGGTTTTTTTACCCCACAAAATTTCATATTACTTTTTTTTTCTTTCTTTCTTTCTTTCTTTTTTTCCTTTTATTCCAGCCCACATATTGTGGCTTTCAGCTAATTAAATACTGGGATTTTCTTTTTCCTATTTTCAGTGCCTTCTTTGAGTCTATGAATCTGACTTTCACTGATTCCTTAAGGGAATTCTTTAATCTTCTTGATATCTTTGTTCAAAAATGACCTCCTGCTCCTTCACTTTTGCTTATAAGGGGCTGCAGAGAGCCTTCTAATTGCAGATTTGCCAAGCCAACTGACTAGAGCAGTTATTCTCAGTCTGTGACGTCTGAGGTGCTAATTGTTAAGGTTATGCTCCCCGATTTTCTTATTGCAGACCTGAGGATTTGTTTTAATTGGTCTTTCAGAGGTTTCTGAGAGGTTTGGTGTGTTTTCAGTGAGGAAGATGCCTGGGCATCTGCTGCTTCCTAAGTGGAAATAAGCGTAGATGCCTTAGCTGCAAGCACCTTCAATCACATTAGTTGAGTTAATC